TTTTTTTTTTTTTTTTTTTTTTTCCTTTTTTTTTTTTTTTTTTTGGAGAGGAGTGGTTTTGTTTCCCTAGGGCAATGTTTAGAGTAGCGTTGTGGGGAAGGAGAGAGCATGGTTAACACGAGTACAGCTTTGATTTTCATGGGCAAAACAGGTTCAATGATTCCTCATGAACATAATCATTACAGTACATATGTTGCCCTCTATGTCTTTGAAAAGTTTTAGTGATACTTAAAAAAAAAAAAAATAAAATAAAAAAGAAGTAGAAGTAAAGAAACAAATATACCTCTAGTTGTAATCGATCTCTAACCGGGATTTTCCTCCCCCCCATCTAATCCCAGGATCACACACAAAGAGAGGAAGAGAAACTACCAGTTCCTACAGTCCCTCGCTGCCAGTTGGGGTTTTTTTCCCTACAGGTATGCATCCTGAAATCACTTTTATCACCGGGTAAAGCAGCGCTAAATACTCTTCCCTAACTGAACAGCTCACGGTGAGCAACGTGGCAAGGACTAGCAGCCAGGGCGGTCGCGGGGGGCGAGGGAAGCGATGCCGTTGGGGTCCCTACAACCTCAGCTCCCACTTTTCCACCCACCCTAACACCCACAACCCCGAGAACCCCGACCGCCGCTCTCCCGCGTTCCTGTCTCCCAACGCCGCCGCGCTCCGGCTAAGCCAGAACCCAGCCCCCGAGGCGGGCTGCGGGCGGGGCGAGGATGAGGAGAAACAACTGGGCCACGGGGAGTAACAACCTCATGGTTTCAGCCTGCCCTGGCTACTGCAGGAAAAGGAGGGCCCCGTGTCTGCGTGGGGGTGCTCCACCAACAACCCACTGCGGGAGCTGCTGCCCGCAGAAACCGCCCTGCACCCCCTGCTCTGCTTCCCCCGAGCCCCACCGCTGTCCTCGGCCATGCCCAGCGCAAGCCAGGGGCGGGTCTGGGCACCTCAAGTCTTTGGTTCTGAATAAAATCCAAAAGGGGGAAGCTCAACGGGACAGTCCCCAAACACTGGGGAACCTCAGCTGCAAAAATCATTAGACGTAGCTTATGGACCTCTACAGCAAATCTCTTAACCGACCCATCGCGCTCCAAAAACCAAAATAACTAAAAAAACCTTCAGAAGACATGTTGTCTAGAAAATATCGTGGTCCATCAGGAGAAGGATTTCTGGATCGGGGTGGAAAAAACAGTGTGTCCCAATTCCTGACTCTGGCAAACTTCTAAGGAAGTCAACATGACCTCATCCTAGGGGGGTTAAACCCGGTGCTCTCGGGAATTAGATAGCTGATCGCCTTTTTTTAAAGGAAGCTTTTAAGCTCTAGTGCTGTTTATTTTACACCCGACAATATGTCAGGCTTTTCACAGCTGGTAGTGAAACCCTCTCAACTTCCCACCGAGACCAACAACCAAGAGCAAGACAGAGGACACGGGACTCTCTACAGCCCTGTCCTACTACGCTTTTGGCCAACTCCAACTCTTAATCTTTCCATTAGGAAAGGTAACAAATCTTCCTGCCATCCCTTTAACCCTCTCTGCCACGTAAACGTTTAGGCCCAGCTCAGCCTGGCAAGCTCAGCCCGCCGGCCTTTCCCAGGGAGAGGACTCCTGACCATCCCCGCTGCATCGGCCACGCTCCCTCCCTCGCTCCCCAGCTCTGAGGGGCAAAGCCCACGCGCCGTCCCACGTGACAACGCCGCGGCTTTCTACTCCCATTTTCTCTTCGGTTTATTCCGCCTGCCTCTTCACCCTCCTTCCCCTCTTTTTTTGTGTTCCTCGTTCCCCTTTTCAGTCGGTTTCAAGACTGCATCCCCCTGTCGAACAGGAGACCCTGGCCAGCAGCATCTCAAACCGCATCACGTAACCTAAAGCACGGGGCACCCATGATACGAATTTAAAGGTGGTAAAATCAAGTCCGAGGGCATTAGCGGTCACTAACGAAATGAAAACCTGTGTGAGAAGAATGGATGAGAAATGGAAAGAACAGCAAGTAAAATACTGAGGCAGAGGAGGTCACTAATCAAAACATACCAAAGAGTGTAAGGGACCTTCATAATTGGGAGATGATGACGCTTGACCTCCATTTCTAGACCAAACAGCTGTGCCTGCTAATAGTAAAATTGGAATTACCATTAGAACTATGCAAACAAAAATGTCTTTCAAACTTTTTGGACAGTTTTGTAGACATGTAAATGCCGTATTCCAGATAGACTATAGAGCAGACATATGGAGAACTTCCAAAATACACACGGATGGAAAAAAAAAAAAAAAAAAAAAAAAAAAAAACCACAAAGTTCCCCCAGGCTGCTCCTCCGCATAGAGGGCTGCATTCATTCGCAGTTGGAGCTGCGAGAGGCTCCGGGAGAAGGAAACGTCTCGGTGGTGGAAGGAGAAGCAGCGGTGCCACGGGGGGCTGTGGGCGGCCGGACCCCTGAGCTAGCCCGGCACAGAGTAGCCCATTCTCCTAGCCTCGCTTCGAGACATCCTCAGTGCCACCGATTCCGTCACCCCACCGTCAAATTTACAGAATCTTTAAAAAAAGCAGTCAGTAAAAAGGCACTGCACACAACATTCCCGGAGACGTCGGTAAGGCTTGCGCTCTCTTTGGGCAGATTATTTGCTTTGGCCCGGTGAGACCACCAAAGGTCTGACCGAAAACCTTCTGGTTTAGATCCGCTGCTCTAAATCTGTTCCTGCTGCTGCAGGAAGAAAAGTGCTCCTGGTACCCAGCAGCATTTTCTAAGGAAAAAAATTGCCCATGCGAAAGAGGCAAACACGGGGAAAAGAAGGTTTGGTTTTTTTTTCACGAGTATTTTCCCAACAGCTTTTATATATTTAGCACAACGCTTAGACAATTTATAATGTTCTTTTGAACAAGTGATCTTCTGAATGATCTCATAAAACAGGGTTAAGAATTTGAGATGGAAATATTAGGATTTTAATCTTAACGTCTACATTGAGTGGCATTTCCTTGAACTGAGATAGGCCAGGGTGGAACTCATGGCAACTTTTTTTTTAGGCTCTCGCAGTGTAATTTTGTTCTCATAGAAGTCAAAATTATGTCAGTTCTAATTAAAACTTAAATCTTCCCTTTTCTGGTCCCTGTGGAGCTTTTAGTTGAGGTTTTGCTACAGCACTGAACGGAGCAATGAGCAGCAATCTTTACTTTCAAAATAATTTTTAACTAGCCCTTGATATCCTTGAGGGAAAGTGTCTTGCATGCTAAACACTTTCAGCTCTTATTTAAATGCACTTATACTCCTTATTTTTATTTTTTTTTGACACTCGGTTCTCCCTATTTACCCAGTAGAGCCTGCAGAAAGCAACGCAGCCCAAATTAGCACGGGATTTTCTCTGTGGCTCGGCCCCTTCCGTCGGGAAGGAGGGCAGCACCTCGCTAGGAGAAACGCAGCCCCAGTGCCGGGGGCGCTACACCTCGGGGGTGATTCCAGGCAAAATAAGGGCAAATTGCTGTTTTCTGAGGTATGGGACACACCCCCTCCCCACCCCAGGCTCTAAGAGCCAGGCGGTCCCTCTGTCCCCGGCCAGGGGTGGCTTTATGGGGACATTTGTGGACTGGATCTCACCCCAACGTTACACACTCGGGGCGAGCATGACGGAGGTGGGCACGGTGTCCTCCCGGACCTCGCCCTGCGCAAGCTTCTCTCCATCCCTCCTTCCAAAAGGGTCTTGGCACCACAGAACTGCTCCTAGGTCTATGTCTCGTGGAGGCTGGGGCACCATTTCAAAGGGCGAGGAGCCCAGGAGCTCCCTCCACCTCCGCCCTGCTGCTCGTGCCCCACGGCGAGGGAGGGATGGCTCAAGCCCTCTCGCCAGCGCTGCCCTACGGAAACACGGCGGCCTCGGCCGTTTTTGAGGACTCCCCGGGAGGTTTAACGGGGCTCACGCAGAGAGAAGAGGAGAGCAGGGCCTTTGGTCGCTTGTGACCTCGTCTCAAAGAGGGGATGGGAAGCCAAGAGGCCTCCTGCAAGGCGTTAGCGTGGGCTTGCGGGCGAGGAGAAGCCTAACGCTTTAGCTGAAAAGCCTCAAAGGTTTAAGAAATCTGAACTATATTCAGGTAAACATTTAAAACACCTGACACTCATGAGAACTACCCTGGGCCTCTGGATCTTTTCAGTTTCGGCTTTTATGAGTAAAGTGGGTTTAGTTAAAATGGGCAATTCTTGTGAACAAGGCGTAAAATGAATCAAGCGGATTCACAGGGGCTCGCTTTGTCCAGAGACACATTTTTAGGGATCAAACAGGCGTTTGCTTCATCCCCAGGAGGGGATGGGGCAGGGGAACGGTCAAGATGTACCTGTCAGGGCCACCCTGGAGCGAGGCTGCCGCGAGGGCCGGGGCGTCCCTGCACGGGGACACACTGTGCCCAGGGCAGAACCCATCTGCCGCCAAGAGCCCGAGGACACTGCGAGGAAGCCGCAATGAGGATGCGATAAAAGTTGCTTTTCTGTAAATACATCTGCCTGAGAGCTGCAAGGACCTTCTCTCTGCCCTGGCAATCCAGCGTGTAGGACCCCTCTCTGCTCATCTCCGCGGGACTCTGCGCGGCAACGCGGGCAACGCTGGATGCGCGTCTCACACCCAGCACCGCGGGAGCTCATTCAGGCACCTCCTACCAAAAATACGTTGAAACGTTCAGTAAAATAGAATTGTAACAACAATACCTGAGAGAGAAGGGGGAGAACCAACAGGAGTTGAAGGATTTGATGAAAAGCTGTTGTTGGTGTGATCTGGAGAATAGATCTTTAAAAGATGATACAGAATTAATCTAAAGCCATCACAAACTGATGCAGAAAGAAATATGGAATTCTTATGCATTCAGTTCATTTAAATGAAAGCAGGACAGGTTAAAAAGCCTCTTATTCAAATATTAATATTTTTATAAAGACATATTAGATGCAGGAAGCCAGACAACAGACCCCTTTTGATGGGAACAGACACTAGCCAATTCAGCGATGGTTTCTGATTGTCACACGGACCTGCTACGGTAGATATACAACATTTTCATTGCATAAACTACTTTACGAGTGAACGTCATTGAACAAGGCCTTAAAGCACGCCTGAAAATTGCTTTTTTTTTTAATATTTTTTTTTTGTTGTTCTGTTGAAATCCCTTAACGGCCAAAATAAAGCAAAGGGAGCGGAGCACGTTAAACCCTGGCACAGCGGGGTTAAGCCGCAGCAGCAAACTCCCAACTACTCATCCGCTGCTCCAGCAAGAAGGGCCCCGCGTGCCCCGTGCTCGGGTGCCACCGCCCCGCGGCGTCCCCGCTCACCGCCCGTGCCATTTGTCAGGGCACCACTTCAAAGTGGATTCTGTACTGTATCGGTTCAGTTCAGGCAAACTAAAGTCTTGACTTTTGGTCTTTTTTTGTTTTCAATGAAGCATCGAAGAATATGCAAAAAAAAATATTAACTCTCATGAGAACTCAATGGAACCCACTCTGCCCAGAAAATAACTATAGTGGTCCTTATTAAAAGTCAGCCCGTGCCAACCAGTCCCGCAGCGGTGGCTGGGGCACGGCAGGGTTTCCTCCTGCTTTGAGCCAGAAAACTGCCGTCCCCCAGGCACCCAGGTAAGAGGGGGCAACCGCTGACTTTAACAGCAACCACAGGAACTGAATAGGTGGAAACTGCCATGAAAAATAGAAAATCTAAAGGCAAATTCAAAAGGAGTCTTGTTAGCGCAGAAGTCATCCTGCCGCTGGGTTCTGGTCAGACCTCCCTCGCCCTAGGGGGGGGATGGACTAACAGACACAGCTCCTCGGCACCCAGTCGGCGTGACCGGGCCAAGGCCTCCCCTCTCGCCGTTTCTATTCTACCGTAAAATTCAATCTAAAACTTTTTAAACACCATTTTGCACTGATTGTTCGATATTTCGGTTGGCAGTAACTCCACGCGGGTGACCTCTGAGACCAGATCTCTCCCGTTTGCTGCTCATCTTCGTAAACTCCAGGCGTCCAATTCTGATTAAAGTTCACACTTTGAAAACGGTAAACGTGTATTCCAAAGTAAATATTTCCTTACAGAGGCAAGTGCTTTCCCCAGCGCATCACCAGTCTGCGAGCTGCCTGCTGCCCCACTTCCTCTGTTTGCTGAAAAACAAAAGACTCGATGTAAAAACAGACAGTAAGACATCACAGACTTCTATTCCTGGTCCACTTACTCATAATTTAATTGCATTCTAATGCTAATTACATAAAACTAATCTTTAATTACCATTAATCTGTTTATTGAGGTAGATATCAAACACATTCATGCTCCATTTTTGCAGATAAAATATAAACTTGACATGCTGCTTTTTAAAAAAATATATGGCGTTATCTGGTAGTATTTGGCCATATCACTTTTTCTGAACAAAAGGCTTCTGATAGTAGAAGATACTCAAAGTTGTGGAAAATAAGCAAGCACACAGCTAGGCAAGCCTGGGGGTGGGGAAGGGCTCCTGCCTCCCCTGCCCCGTCCCAGGGCGCTGAGTTTCTGCTCTAGGATGCGCCAATCTGCTCTAACGAGGGGTTTCCTCTTCAAAAACTCTACGGCACTAATACGTAAGGGCAATATTTCACATAGAAACCATCCCCAACGACCGCAGAGGAAGGTTATAGAGGTGGCAACGGCCGGAGCCCAGCCTGCCAGGGCGGCCCAGTTCCTCTCTCTGCGCCCGCGCTGGGACCAGTCACTAATTGCAGGCTCCTGCCACACTCCCCGGCAGCCCGAGGCGGCCTCGCTGCCAGGGAAGGACAATTAATGAGCAGCTACTCAGTATTTTGTTGTCTCCTTGTTCACCCTGTGACCCTGGTCCTTTGTCTACTTTTCACCGCGTGGTTTGAAGACTTTTGTGAATTCCGTACAGACTTTTCCCAAGTGTTCCTTCAGACTTGGCTCAAACATTTAATGAAATGATTTTTTCCCCGTCTCTCAGGTGATTGGATTGCACTTTTCGCATCAGAAATTTAGGGCAAGACAAGTCCTGGTGTAGCAGGCCACCAGCTTCTCACGCTCAGGTGACGGGACGGAAAACTTCTCCGTTACAGGAGAAATCAAAGGGAAGAAAAACGAGGGCGAAACATCCCACCAGTTTCAGCATCTGCATGACCATTTAGGAACTAAAAGCGCAGCTGCCCATGACCAACACTTCTGCTTTCACCCCTGAGGCCCCCAGTGAGGTGGCCAGACCATGAGAAACCACCAGTCACAGGAGCCACCCCCCGACAGGCTGGAGCAGTGTTGGGAACGCGAGGGCTGAGGCTGGTGAGGATCCCGTACGCCACGGGGTTTGAAGGGCTTCAGCCCCCCCGTGTCCCCCCCAATCCCCCAGCAGGTTCTGCACCACGAGCCCATGGGATCCCGTGCCTGGAGGACCTCAAGAGCAAACCCAGCCCATGTCTGTACCGTCAAGTACAAGCACAGGCACTTGTTGGTCATTAAAAAATAATATAAAACAGCCTCCCGCGAGTCTCCCCGCAGCGTTATTCAGTGAAATATTGAGTTCAGTGGATCCTTCTGACAGCTCGCTGAGTTTGGCTGTGGGTGTCAGCACAGGCCCTAATCACTGAACGCAGCCCCGCAGCGGCAGCTGGGAAACCCGTGGGCCGGGGGAGATGTCCTGCCGTCCCCCCTCAGAGCACCCTTTCCCCTCCGCCTCCTCCGCGCTCCCCTCCCTGAAAGCCTTGACCTCCTCCACGCAGCTTTTCCAAGCCTCCATCCCTTGTGCCTTCCAGCCCAGCCTCCCTGGCTCAGCAGCACCTCTGCCCTCAGAGCCGCCAGGGACCCATCGCGCCTAAACCTGACGCTTCCCTTCAGCAGGGTCCACTTAGGCAGCCTTAAGGAATGGCACAGAACAGCATTTTCCTTCCGTTTCTCATGTACAATGTGCGTGTTATCAAATTTTTACACCTTCACGTTTAACCTGACGGTGTAACCTGGACATCTCAGCATCTCTCCTACAGCACCTTCCCCGGGGAAGGCCTCAAGGTCTCCGCGTGTCCCCGCCGCTGTCAAACTCACAGGGTGCCATTTGCAACTCCTCCTGTGATGATTCTTTTTCTTAGTTAAAACTTTTCCTTTTGTTATTGCATACTTGAAAATGTGCTCATCTGCCAATGACAGCTTATTTGTGATCTCAGCTCAGTTTGAAATTGGGCATCAAGATGTACAAAGAAAGATAAATAAAGAAACGTGAAGACAGACAGAACAGGCGGTGTCAGCTCGCGATACAACTTTTCAGGGCAATTTAACCTTGTAAATCACAATCTAAAGGTTTGAGCCTTGAATAATACCAGGCAGATGTCCAGAAATTCAGTTACTTTGCTCTAAAGTGAACTGCGAATCTAAATGTAAATCATGCATTGTTTTTTCCTTCTTCTAAGTGACTCTAACTGCATTATTCTAAAATTAAGTCCTCCATTTGTCTGTCTGAAGGCTGGTTTCTCCTAATGAGATGAGCTACACTGGTCCTGTGGGAGAAGCAAAGGCAGGGACCACAGTCTTGTTCCACGTGCTCTCAGAAACCTGACAGCACTGAGCTGGGCCACGTCTTCTATTAGTTACCACTAAGAACAAAGGAATTCTTCAGATATATTGAATATTAAACTTCTCCTGGAAGACTTTGAAGACAAATTAATGCGGTAGGCCTGGAAAGCATACAGGGAGAGCCTCAGGGATGGGCAGCAGCGTGCAAAGTCCCCTTTTGCGGAGTTTCAGTGGGAAAGGGATGCTTGAAAAGCAGTAGAGCAGGGGTTTGTAACACGGGGAAGGCAAGCTCACGGCATTATTTGTGGGTCTCTTTATATAAAAACTTAAAGTCACCCATGAAATCAAACAAAAAATATGTGGTGGGTTTTTTTTTTCAGTAGCATCCAAGCAGATGGGGAAAACTGCTGCACTAAGGTATGCAAAGACCGAAAGTATAAACAGATTTAAAAAGAACTCGGCAAATTAGTGGAGAAGAACGTCCACTGGTGGCTACTGCAACCCCAGCTCGGGCCTGCAAAACCCCGAGGGAAGGCGGAGGAGGGAGGAGCAGAGGCTCCTTCCCAGCTGCCCGCCAGCGTCTTGGCTTTGGGTTCTCAGGGACAGCGGAGAAAATGGGCAAAGGGAGGTAACTACGGCACCTCCCACGTGGAAGACCAGGATGAGCACAAGTAGACAGAGATCTCCTGAAAGCGTGCATGTCCCCAAAACACTGGGATTGCTTAAATACAGCTACGCTTCTCAGCGTATGCTTTTCCTTCTTACATCACCAGCTATTTTACAGGTGAGCTCTTATTGGCTTTAGCTGTCGTTTTGGTAATGTAGGGGACAGGACTGAGATCGGCAGGTGACCAAAGAAAATCCGTGTGGAAGGAAGAATGGAAAAATAAAGAGTCTTGAGGAAAAACACAGCAAGAAGCGTCTGCTGCAAGAGGCCAATGATTTCGGGAGCACTGTGATAAAATTAACATCATCCCAGGACTGGGTGTTACCAGAAATAAGAACCAGACCTCAAAACATAGGAAAAGATAACCCAGGGTATCACAACAGAGAAGGGTAACGTGCAGTGCTGCTTCACACAGGGAACGGCTGTGGAAGATCATCAACTCTCACTATTAATATCGCACAGCTGTTGGTCCATCCCTTCACCACCAGCTCCTACGACACACTATTTAGATATTCTGTCACCCCTGGGTAAAACCAAACCTCAGGTGGTTTCCCAAAAAAATGCAGAAAGCAGAACAGGTATTGATTCTATTTAAATAAAAGGCTGAATTTCAGCACATCTACCAAGAGCTCTTCCACTTCAGCTTTCAGAAAGAAACCAGAAGATGTAGGGGTTGAGCAAGATGGAGGATCTTAGGCAAATATTTCATTTAATGCAAGTTACATACAAGACCAAAAAAAACCCACAAAACCTTTGAAAGAGCAATTTTTAACGGCTTCAGAGTTAGTACTAAAAGCTTTTTCAAGCCAATCACAAATAAGGACAATGATGGAGAGTTGGTGGGACCTGCAAACAACCAAGATGCAACAGAATGCAAGGGAAAAAAAAAGGGTAATAGAAGAAGTGCTAAACAGATTATTTTCATCTGCCTTGCCACGGGACAGATGATATTTTACAAAGGATTAGTCAGAAAAATTGGCTCCAAGTGATGTGTCAATGTAAAGGCTTGAAAATAAATTGATAAAAAGGAAAATAAAGATGAGCCAAATGACATTTCTAGGAGCTCTCAAGAAACTCAAACACAAAATTGTCTAACTTCTAACTGCAGCGTAAAACCAACTGCTTAGGCCAACCTAGTGCTGAAGTCAAGAAGGTAGAAAATATTAAAAACTAGTATTGAAAGCAAAGTTCTGTGAATTCAAAGGGCTACCAGATTTTAAATCTGGCTTCTCTACTAGGGAAGATACAGAGGAGCAATATCCGTGTGGACAAACACACCGTATCACATGGCCAACACCGCTCTTTGGCGGAGGGAAGTCCTGTCTTGCAAATCTAAATTCTTTCAATTTAGGCCATAAACGCACACAAAGGGGCTCTCAGTTACCTCATGTACAGTCCAGAAAAAGAACACCTGGAGCTACAGTGAGTCATTAGCGCCAATCTGAGCTGATGAACCAGCCCCTCAGCACCCCCAGAAAACCCCAACGATGAGCAACGCCTGGGCCAAGAGCAGGGAGAACCCTGAGGCCCGTTCTGTCCCTCCATGAATTCACAACACACCGGTATTTTGGATACGGAGTATCCAAAGACCTGGGAAGTGCATCAAGAAAGAGCATCATGGTCTAGAGAACAGAAGAAGCAGAGTCAGAAATAGTAGAGGGTGCTTCCCTTAGAGGATGAACTCAATAAATGTGGATTCTCCAGCTCGGAAAAGGGACGACGACAGCAGGGTATGACAAAAGCCACTGAGGGAGGGACCTGGGGGGGGTTGAGAATGAGCCAGAGTGTGCCCAGGGGGCCAAGGAGGGCAACGGCATCCTGGCTGGTGTCAGCACTGGCGTGGCCAGCAGGGACAGGGAAGGGATCTGAGCCCTGGGCTCGGCACTGGGGAGGCCGCCCCTCGCTGAGGGGGTTCAGTGTTGGGCCCCTCACCCCAAAAAGGCCATTGAGTGACTCGAGCGTGGGCAGAGAAGGGCAACGGAGCTGGGGCAGGGTCTGGAGCACAGGT